AACTTTCTTTGGGCCCATGTTGGCTTATTTAGAAGTTGCAAGCACTAAAAAGAATGGAACAATACGAAATGTATCGTATGAACGTGTGAGATCATGCTCACTGGCTGATAAACAATGGCACACTGAGTGTCGGGCCGCTGTTGCCGTGCAGACATGTTCGGGATGAATGACTATTACTGAGCTCAATGACAATCACCAAGCCAATATTCTGATGAAAAAACGTTACGATTTCTGAATACATATTATGAAATCCGACAGGTACGATATCCGGGGGTCCACTGTACACACACACACACACACACACACACACGTCAGTCATCTCCCACTGAGACAGGGTGACCCAAAAAGAAAGAAAATCTCCCAAAAGAAAATACTTTCATCATCATTCAACACTTTCACCTCACTCATACTTAATCACTGTCTTGGCAGAGGCGCTCAGATACGACAATTCAGAAGTCCCTCCAAACTGCCAATATCCCAAACCCCTCCTTTAAAGTGCAGGCATTGTACTTCCCATTTCCAGAACTCAAGTCTGGCTAACCAGTTTCCCTGAATCCCTTCACAAAATATTACCCTGCTCACACTCCAACAGCTCGTCAGGTCGCAAAAACCATTCGTCTCCATTCACTCCTATCTAACATGCTCACACATGCCTCCTGAATGTCCAGGCCCCTTGCACACAAAACATCTTTTACCCCCTCCCTCCACTTTCCTAGGACAACCCCTACCTCTCTTCCCCTCCACTACAGATTGACACAGATTTTTTTTTTTTCAACACGCCAGCCGTCTTCCACCAAAACAGGGTGACCCAAATAAGAAAAACTCACACCATCATTCACACACATACTACTGTCTTTGCAGAGGTGCCCAGATATGACAGTTTAGATGTCACTCCAAACAGCCAATATCCCAAACCTCTCTCTCCTTTAAAGTGCAGGTATTGTACTTCCCACCTCCAGGACTCAAGTCCTGGAGGTATATACTGTATGTATGTTTTCTTCTTTTTATTTTTAGTGAGCTGTACAGGAGAAGGGGTTACTAAAAAGGGTTTGGGATATTGGCTGTTTGGAGTGACATCTAAACTGTCATATCTAAGTGCCTTTGCAAATACAGTGATTATATGTGAATGATGGTGAAAGTGTTGAATGATGATGATGAAAGAGTTTCTTTTTGAGTCGCCCTGCCTTGGGGGAGATGGCTGTGTAAAAAATTTTTTTTACTTCTACTTTCAACAAATTGGCCATATCCCACCGAGGCAGATGGGATAAGGCCGGTGGGATGTATATCTCTCCATGGGGAAATGAAAAAAAATTCTTCCTCTGTAAGCCATGTGTGTCATAAGAGGCGACTAAAATGCCGAGAGCAAGGGACTGTAACCTCTTCTCCTGTATAAATTACTAAATTTAAAAACAGAAAGTTTAGTTTTTCTTTTTAGGTCACTCTGCCTCGGTGGGATATGGCTGGTTTGTTGAGGAAAAACTAAAGCACGCGGTGCGCACACACACACACACACACACAAAATAGTTTAATGAGTATGGACTGGACAGCTTTGTATATCATATATAGTATGAAGAGTACATTGTTTATACGTATAATAGTTCACAGTTAAATTTAGAAGAGAAATAATCAACGAAGTCCTTGACTATCATCAAATGTTGGTATTTTTTATTAAATTTATAAACATTTAAGGCAAAGGGAAGAGAGTACAATACCTACTAAATTTACATCATAAAAGAGCATTCTATTCCTACTTTTTACTTACAGTGTAGTAAAATAGAATACTGATTTTTTGCATATAAAGACTTTGCTTGGGAAGTTCCACATAAAAGTATATTCTGGCAGCATTTAAAATACCAAGAAAGGCACAATCAAAATGAATACTCTAATTTTAAGGCCACACCAACTCAGACACCTGGACATGTGTTCATATTACATGAAGAGCATAGTAGTAAATACTTCACAGGTTTTTCACATGCATAACCATGAAACTCATGTCCACCAGGATACTTGCTTAAACCAAGTTCCTTTTAAATCAGTTAATATAAAATAAGAAGTCACAATACCGTGGCTGGAACAATTCACAAATAACTTGCACTTAAGAAAGGAACCTCATGACAACGTTTCAGTTAAGTTCTTCACAGATGCCGTCTTGTTGAATCAGTCTCATATACAACATTTCTAACACGAATCTTAGTCCTGGTTTTGTTTCTGGAGATGCCTGCCTTTCTCAATACATTATCAAATGCCCTGGTCTTCAGATGACCCTTGACACCTGACCTTTCACTCTTTTCCTCATTTGCTCTTGACCTGTCTTGTATTTCCTTTGCCCTTCTCTTTTTGTGACTTCCCTCTTTCTTGCTTCCTTTTCTATCCTTGCTTGGGACAGTTGGCCTACTGTGGTGCTTCTCTGCCTCCTCTGGGGACAGGTGTTAGTGTTAAGATACTTTAATCTCCACTGCCTTGAGATGTAATTCACATCCATTATTTTATCACTGCTGCT